AAAAAAAAAAAAAGTTGTATTAAGAACCCCTTCACGGGAGAGCCTTCCTCGTAACAAATTTTAGGTGTACGACACATTTCTGTTGACTACTGGCACAATGCTGGCCAGGGGGCTCTAGAGCTTATTCATCATACTTAACTGGAACTGTGCCTGTTGATTAATAACTCCATTCCCCCTTCCTCCAGCTCCTGGTAACTACCAGTCCAGTCTCGGATTGTATGAATTTGGCTATTTTAGATACCTCACATAAGTGGAATCATGTAGTACTTATCTTTCCATGTCTGGCTTATTTCACTTTGAATACTGTCCTCAAAGTGCAATGAAAAAAATTTGTAAAGAGAACTTTCTTTTTATGCAGCATTTCCACTGTCCTCTCTCTAAAGAGAAAGAATGTTGACTCCTTGGTCTCTATATTTTAGTATAGATCTCACAAAAATTTAGAAATTTTAAGTCTGAAATAGGAAACGGATAAACAAAGATAGCTAGAGAGCTGAATTATTACTTTCGTCAATACTAAAAGGATGGTAAAAATCACTTTCATTTAAAAATATGATGAATTAGGTCACTGATACTGATGGGAGGGGAAGGTTTACATTGAAATGCCAGTGCAGATGTGTTCTTAAGAGCACTGTGTATTGTAAAGAGTACCCAGTAATTCACTAGAATGTCTTAAACTCAGGTTACGTAATCCTTACTTTCTCCCACCAGGTTTAAATTACATGAGAGAACATTCTAGCTCAATTTTGATATTCGATCGTGAACAGCAAATGCATTCAAGTTCATTTACATAAATTTTAAGTAAAATATTTAAATGTTTTGTTTTCTGAAGTAATACTATAAGAGATATGTTCAGCTACTTATAACCAGATTTCTTTGAGTGGAATCTGATCTAACTATTGAAATAGTCTTCCTTAGTTTAAGCTCATCAAATCCTTTTAATCTATTCCAAAGTATGAAAAATGAATTCTTTTCCATCATCATGAGGAACAGGAATCAGAAACAAGTTACCTCTTACTTGGAGAACCCCACATGAACAACTTTGGATTATTATTATTGAAGATATCTGGGCTTTATCTGTATATTGATCACTCATCTATAAACCACACATGGTTCATTTTTCCTCACCTGGATTGCAGAAAAAACACGGGATAAAGAGACTCCTAAACCTAGTTCTGCCACTAATTTGATGTGCCACAGGATTTCCGTTGTTTCCACCTGATCGGCAACAAAATAAAGGCACTCACCAAGTGGTCTCCGGGCTCTCTTTCACTCTCAGCCTCCTACAGTGTGTAATGCCTGAGTCTGAGCCTTGCCCTGTACTACTCAGAGCTGTGCAGGAACTACCATGGCCCTCACGTGAATCTCCCAGAATATGTGCGTCCACATTTCTGAGCACGTTTCACTCCATGAACTCAGCTTTGAACAGCCTCCTTCTTATCACCTCTACCTTTTGAAATGTGACTCATTCTTAAAGGTCTAGCTCAAAGTCCAATAGTTCCTTGAAGTCTTCCTAATCCCTAAACTGGAAACTGACCATTCTTGTCCATAAACATCCAAATGGTTTGTTCACATATTTTAAAATATCTGTTATGTATCATCTTACTATTTACGGATACACTTCATTTCTTCTATTAAACTGTAAACACCTCAAAGGGAGAAAAGGCTTATTTGCCTGACAACACATGGCCATTCCCACTCTCCATACCAGTCCAGTCCCTGTTTTCAACAATCCCCACCCCAGTCTGCCTAGTCTAAGAAAGTGTCTGTACTTCTCTTCTTCCTTTACTCCTGAGTGGCTTTGACACCTGCATGGCTTTGACCCAGGGTTAAACCTCACCACTTCCAGGACCCAAGGAGGGACCATACAAAGGGTAAAACCACAACTTGGGCAATTTAGAAGATCCATTTGTTGGTGGTAATCACAAGAGCCATTAGGACAATCTAGGGGCCATGGATAGGGTGAACATACAAGTAATTATCTAAACAGGAATACTTTTTTTTTTTTT